TATATATACGTATATATATAATATAATATAGGCCTATAAAATATATAAGTCCCCAGTGAATTAACTATTTCCTAGTTAAATACCTTTCCTGTATATTTTTGCATAATTGAACATTTAATTGACTTTTAATAGTTAATAAAATCTCTGTAAATCAGCAATAACTGTGTGTGTGTACCATCCAAGATGGCTGCCATAGTTTCACCCAATCAAATTTCGCCTGAGCACTGTAATTTTCAATGGCGCCCTCAATTTACACAAAAAGTTCAGTACAGCTAGTTACCCGTATATTTGAAACTCGAGCGTTGCGGTGTATGGGTGTAATGTACACGATTTTAATTTTTTTTTAAATATTTGAATAAGATGGTTTACTTGGCCTTTTTTGGCTACGACAGTTTACTAATTTGTCATTATCAATACTAATTATCATTAATGAAATAATATTCAGTCAGATGGCTTATTTATAGTAATAATATGTATACTAGCCTGAAGGTGGCGCTTTCCTACGGCAGCCATCTTGGATGGTACACATACACAACTCTGCATTGCTCCGCCATCTTGTCAGCACTCTAGTTGTTTAATAGCTCTATGATATCTATTCAAACTACGAGTCATGAGTTGTTGGACAGTCGACCTGCGGTACGCAGGCAAATTTAAACAGCGCCCTCCTATGGGCGGCCATTAGGGCCAAAATAGACAAATATATTACATGTAAATATTTTTTTTATTTGTTTATTCCCCGACAAAATTTACTCGTCTTCCCCGACGGGAGGGGGGGCTATAGCCTCCAGCGCCACCACTGGTCTATACAAAGGGGAGAGAGGGAAGACCATCAGGGACAGTTTCGTATTGCCTAAGCTTTATGTAAGGTCATATGATAAGAATGAATTTTAAAATTCACAAGTTGGCATAGACAGAATTAAAACGACTTCGTTTATGTAAAACTACACAAGTAATTATCTCAGACTGCTTAGAATTGCCTCAAAAGGCTTGAGAGTACAATTGCAAATTTATTCATTAAAATCGTCTTTTACAACCTTCCAACATTATGACAGGTTGAAAAGATTTTAGTGTCTTTGTCACTAATAATGCTTTCTTCTTTGAACAAACCGTTGTAACTTTCAATGATTAAATAAATGTCAAATAAGAAATTAAGTTCTGCATTCAGCATGATTATTTTTCCGTAAGCACCAACTTTAATAAGTGGCGTGGTACATATTCAAGCCCGTAGCCAAGATTTTTGGTAGGGGGGTTCTTTTTGGTACTGAAAGGGCACTTGCGAGCACCATTGGCTGGGGCCGGGGGGCGCACCAAGGGCCCCCGGGGGGCCAGGGCCAAAACCCAGGTGGGGGTCCAGCATTCTAAGCATTTAAAGGTGTTATTTAATTGATTTGAGAGGCCATACATTAAACAAAATGTATATATTAAAGAGGTAATTTTTTAAGTTGGGAAAAGATAAAAAACAAAAAAAAAAACTACTACTTTAGTACTACAGTATTGGTAATTTAACAACAGTAGCATGATTCTAACTCCAAAGAATCCAGTATGGTTTATTCTTTATTTTTTATTTATATAGCACTTTGAAAGTTGTATCATACTATACTTACGGTATACTATACTCACTTAA